TCCATCAGGACAGCCCATTCAAGTATGTCGTGAGGAGTGACTTACCGATCGGGCCAACCGCAGGCCCGAGGAAGGGGGCCAGACTGTAGATAGCAGTGGCCATGCCACGCTCCTCTTTGTGCCAGCAATCACTGAGGACACCACCACCGAGCTACGTCTGTTAGATGCGTCATTTGATGGCAACGGATGGAACTTACAGCCTGGGGGGCGCTACCGCCTAGACCGCTGAGAAAGCGAAAAGCTAGCATCTGCTCCTTGCTTGTCGAGAAACCGCAAACTGTGTTGAAAAGGAGAAAGACCATATTCGCAGACTGCAGCACAACTACACGGCCATACATCTCGGAGAGTGGACCGAGGATGAAAGGACCGACGGCGTATGCAAGGAGGAAGATAGACATGAGGAGGTATGTCTCAATGTCGGACTTGATTTTGAACTCTTCAGCAAGCGTAGGAAGCGCAGGGGCCAGCATCGTGGACGAAACCGGAGAGATGAAGGTAAAGCAGGATACTAGGATGGTGGACGTCCATCGTCGATATTTCGGCCAGTTTTTCGGGTTTGCCGGATCTTTGGGACCATCCCAGGTTACCTACAAGGGCTGTCAGCACACACCGCAAGTGGCAGTCGGGAGGCGGGTTAACTTACAATATTGGGATCACTCAGGAGCTCCTCTTTGGTCTCTTCCTTTGGGCCCTCTTCAACATGTGCAGGGTCAAGTTCTTCTTCAGGCACACACTGAATAAGTCGTCGACCATCAACAGAACAGTCTGTCTTAGGGACTGCTGCATAACCACGCTCCATTTCCTCGTCGTCGCTTGAGTCTTGTTCGAGCCAGGGGAATTTGTGGATGGACCTTTCATAATCGTTGACAGACGGAAGACCTGGAGTCCATGGCCGCCAGAGGGTCGAGCGGGAACTGTGGAGGCCACGATGCATTGCAACCTCTGGACTAGGGATAGGCTTGCGAGGGATATTCTGAGACATGATGTGAGCAAGCGAATGAAACGTAGAACGAAAGTGGTGCTTAAGCGAGAGGATGAATGATGTTGGAACGATTGGAAAAAGTGATGTGGTTGGACAAAGTTGCAACACGGACCGCCGGCCTTTGCGTCTTATACACTCAAAGAACTTAGACTATGTCGCGTGTCTTGGTTTTGTCCCCTTCTCCCACGATGTGCCACATGGTAGCTTCGCCTCAAAAGTCAAGCGGCCAACGCACCGTCGCCTCCCGACTTTCGCGTGAGCGTTTGCGACGAAGGGGCAGAAATTCTGGGCCAAGCCACCGCAGCATCAAAGCCCGTGATCGGCAAAGGGGGGGCTCATACCGCAAATAATGACCGCAGTGCTCGGGAAGCAGGCCGGAGTATCCAAAGATAACTCCCTACAAAAAGTGGCGCACGTGCTTGTGTGAGCGGGCCCTCCAGGAGCAAGATGATCGGCGGTTGTATTTGCCTGGTCGTGGGGTTAGGGTCATAAGATGGAAGCTCGCTCGAAGCTTTCTTGGCAGCTGGAATCGACTGAGAATCGGAACCCTTGGCTCCCAAGGGGCCCCACTACGTCAGTCTAAGTGGCTGTGCGTGCGGTGCCAACGAGCACTTCGGGCTGTGTCGTCAATGAATTGACCCTGCCCAAAAGCTTCGAGGGTCTCTGTTTCAGTGGTGGCCTTGAGTTCCGTTGGGCCGTGTCATTGGAAGCTGTGTGCCTCAGAGGCTGGCTTGGCACTTGGTTTCAGCCCCGACCATACGAGAAGAGGATAAGCTCGCCGAAGCGGTTGTCGATGCCGAGACTTCCAGAGCCAGGGTTTTCGCCGGAAAGGGTCCAATGAATAGGATGACTTGCTTTGCTGCTCGCGTGCCATGCCATCATGGTCATGGTGCTCGTCATGGAGAGACCCCGCCTGGCAGGGCTATGCGGTGACTCGTGAAGCCCTGACATCAAGCGCATACCAGGCAAGATCGGCACGTCTATCCATGATCAAGCTCTGCCCAGAAGGCCGGACTGGTGCTTGTCCCCGCATCATACTTGTGAAATGAGTGCATCTCAAAATAATTCTATCACACGAGCAACTTCCCGGTTGCGTCTTTCTCGCCGTGTGGTAACCCGACAGCGCCTCCTTTAGCTTCTGCGCGTGAATGGCATCAAGCCGAACGCCGATACACACCGGGCAGTGTAGTGGCTCAAGGTGTCTAAGAAAAGATCTTCGCCATGAGATGAACTGTTTCTGAAGCTTGGCTAAGTCGGCTTTTGGCAAGTGTTGTGATGATGCGCTGGCGGTGACGGCTCAAACCTAGATACCATATAAGACGAGGACTTCTGGCCGAGTATCGAGCACAAGAAGATCATTATCATCACCATCACAGTCAGTACATTCGCTTTCTCACTACCATTCAAAATATACCTTACAATCGCTACACCATCCTCATACCTTACTTACAAGATATACCTACTCACCTCACCGACCTTCGTTTGAACAAATACCTTCGTTCAAACATTTACAAATATCCATTAACTTGCCAACACAACACACAAACCACAACACATCATCTCCAATGAAGCTCAAGATGGCCACTCCTGCCGCTCCCTCCGGCATGAAGGTTCTCGTGTGCCCCTCTGGCTTCAAAGGCAGCCTGCAGCCCCAGACGGCAGCCGACTGCATCGAAGCCGGTATCCTCGCCGTGCTCCCTGACGCTTCTGTCCGCAAGGCCCCCTTGTCGACGGAGGCGAGGGTTTCACTGGTGCGCTGGTGACTGCTACCGCTGGCAAGCTCCACCACGTCACAGTCACTGGACCGGTGAGCGCGCCGGTCGAGTCCTTCTTCGGCATCCTGGGCAACAGCAGCAACGCCTCGGCCCCTCGCACGGCAGTCATCGAAATGGCGGCTGCCGCGGGCCTGAGCCTGGTGCCCAGCCACCTACGCAACCCAGCGCGCACGACGACCTACGGCGTCGGCGAGCTGTTCCTCGCCTGCCTCGATGCTGGCGCCAAGCGCATCGTCATAGGCTGCGGCGACTCTGGCACCTGTGACGGCGGCGCGGGCATGCTCCAGGCCCTGGGCGCCCGCCTGCTCGACCAGGACGGCAGGCCGCTGCCGACGGCGGGCGGCGGCGACTCGCTGCTGCGTCTCGCCCAACATTGACCTCAGCGACGTCGACAAGAGAATCCACGAGACGTCGATCGAGGTGGCCGTCAACTGGAGCAACGTGCTGTGCGGGCCCTGGCGGCGTGGCGAGGGTCTTTGGCGCGCAAAAGGGCGCGTCCGAGGAGCAGACGGAGCGGCTGTCGGCTGCGATGGAGGTGCTCAGCGTTGTGGCCGGCCGTCTTCTCTGCGACAACAAGGTGGGCAAGGCGCCCGGTGGCGGGGCCTCTGGTGGCCTGGGCACCGGTCTTCGGTTGATTGGCGCCAGGCTCCGGCCAAGATATGAAGTGGTGGCGGAGTACGTCGACTTTGAGACGCTCTTTGACGACTGCGACCTTGTGCTCACGGCCGAGGGAGGCATTGACGACCAGACACCCCGCGGCAAGATCCCTGCCGAGATTGGCATGCGGGCAAAGAAGTACGGCCTACCCGTCGTCGCCATTGCTGGCACGATTGGGCCTGGCGCGCGGGTCAACTACGATGTTGGCATTGATGCGTACACGTGTATCTTGCAGAAGCCGACGACGCTGGCAGAAGCCGTGCTCGAGGCAGAGAAGCTGACGCAGGAGAGTGCCGAGGGCGTCATGAGGATGATCGTCGTCGGACGCATGCTGGCTTCAAGGAAGCTGTACCAGATGGCCGAGCCTAACGAGGTCTGGGTCTGAGGAGGTGACGCTGGCAAGCAAAGAGGCGGCCACATGCCAAGGGAGACAGCACAGCAGGACAGCACAGGGGGGACAGCACATCAGTCCAACAGGGTTTGCTTGGTTCCGCTGCTAGCCCGTCATAGATCAGGAGCAAGAGCGCGCTTGTACATACAAGAGACCGGAAATACGTTTAGTTAGCAAGAGTCACGAGTGTGAATGAGAACATGATTTGACGAACGCATGAACCCAATTATCAACGATCATGCCATCAGTGGGGTGAAGTAGCCGGATAAAAAAGAAAGGAAGGGCAAGGATCAGCGCTGGCGCGAGCAATTTAGAGCGGGTGTCGGTTGGATAAGCTTAAAAAGCCAAGACGCTTGGATAAACCAGTGGGTGGCTATGCTGGTGGTTTTGGTGACCAGGATTTCTTGGTGTTGTGAGGTTGGGCCAAGGGAGAAGTCGAGCACGTGGGGGCTTTCTTAGGGGGTCTTCTCTGGCAGAGGGGGTGAAGTGAGGTCAGCAGAAACACCAGTATTGATTGGCTGTTGACGGTATCCCAAAGATGATGAAAAGCAGGCCAATCATTGGCACGATAACTGCACCTTATCAGTCCACATCCGGACTAGCCAGGCACAGCCCCGCCCCCGCACCAGTGCCTTCCCACAGTGTCGAACGGCCAAGTCCACGACTTCAACGCATGGAGGAAGCAGTGTCTGTCCTTCAACCACCAAACAGATTGCTGCCCATCATCGCGACCCTTGAGGCACAGCACAGCCTCTGAGCTGAAGCAGACACCCTTCTTCTTTCCCTTCTCTGGGTTGCCATCTTCCTCCCCCTTATTTCCGATTCCCCACTCACATCTCCGCCTCCCCTCCTATCTCCTTCGACATACAGGCTTGATTGCCGTCTCATCTCCCGTGGTTCGATCCCGCTGCCACCCATCAACGCCCTGTGTGCTATTTTCAGAAACACCCACCGCCACCCGCAGCCCGTACCACCCTTCTCGTGCCGGGGTCCCGAACGCACGCTGCGTTCCTGAGCCGCAGTCCACGCCTGACATCAACCTCCTCGACCAGTGCTCGTGCTGGCAATCACGGTAACACCCTTCACGCGCCGAGATGCCCAAGAACGCCCCCGCAGACGACAAGCCTACCGTCACATTCAGCTCCGGCCGCACTCAGCAGGACGGCTTTGCCTTCTCCTCACAGCCCGACTCCCCCCCCGACCTGCGGCTTTTACACTACAACGATGTGTACCACCTCGACTCCTCGAGTGCTGAGCCCAAGGGTGGCATAGCCCGTTTCATTACCGCCGTCAACCAGTATCGGAGCGAGGACCGGTTCCGCACCGAGCCTGAGTTGATCACGCTCTTCTCGGGCGACGCTTTCAACCCAAGCCTCGAGAGTTCCGTGACCAAGGGTGAGCACATGGTGCCCGTGCTCAACTCCATCGGTACCGACTGTGCCTGTGTCGGGGTGAGCGCATGACCTCGTATTCAATAAGCTCTCACGCGCTGACACACGGCAGAACCATGATCTCGACTTTGGCGTCAAGCAGTTTGAGCACCTCGCCCGCAAGTGCACCTTCCCCTGGCTCCTCGCCAACGTGCTCGACCCGGCCCTCGGCGAGGACGTGCCCCTCGGTAATGCCAAGCGCACCCACTTGCTGACCGCCTCCAACGGGCTCAAAGTTGGTCTCATCGGCCTGGGTGAGCGCGAGTGGCTCGAGACCATCAACTCTCTGCCGCCGAATCTCATCTACAAGTCCGCCACCGAGACGGCCAAGCAGCTCGTCCCCGGCCTACGTGAAGCCGGCGCCGACATTGTCATCTGCGTCAGCCATCAGCGCGAGCCCAACGATGACAGCTCGCTCGCCAGACGGATGGGCTCTTCGACTCATCTTCGGCGGCCATGACCACTTTACGCCCAACAGCTTCAACAGCCACGGGAGAAACAATCCGCAGCGGCAACGACTTTAAGCAAGCTCAGCTACATCGAGGCACGCCGCAACAATAAGAACGCACACCAGACGGAGGGGGAAAAAAAACAATTCTCCGCCGCGACATTGTCTCGTCCATCCCCGAGGACGCCGAGGCCCTACGCATGACGTCGGCGCTGACCGACAAACTCAAGCACCAGCTGTGCAAGCCCGTCGGCTGGACGGCGGCGCCGCTCGACGCCCGCTTCAGCACCGTCCGTATGAAGGAGAGCAACATGGGCAACTTCGTCTGCGATATTATGCGCAACTACCACCACGCCGACGCCGCCCTCATGGCCGCCGGCACCATCCGCGGCGACCAGATCTACCCGCCTGGCGTGCTGCGCGTGCGCGACATTACAAACTGTTTCCCCTTTGAGGACCCCGTTGTCGTCATTCGTGTCACGGGCACGCAGCTGAGGGAGGCCCTCGAGAACTCGGTCTCCATGTACCCGGCGCAGGAGGGACGGTTCCCGCAGGTGTCGAACCTCGAATTCGAGTTTGACCCCAGCAAGGTGTCCGGCGCGCGCGTCAACTGGGTGAAGCTCGGCGGCGCGCCGCTCGAGGAAGGAAAGAAATATGTGCTCGCGACGAGGGGTTACATGGCGCGCGGCAAGGACGGGTACGACTCGCTGCTCGTGGAGCCCGAGGGCGGCACGGCCGAGGAGCTGATCAGCGAGGAAAACGGCATCCTCATCTCGGCCATGCTGCGGCAGTATTTCATGGGACTGCGGACTGTCGGGCAGTGGAAGAATCTCAGCGAGCACTGGGTCAAGGTCGCGAGTGAGTGCACGACGCCCATCGAGACGAGGAAGAATCCCTGGGCCACCGCGCCGGGCAACAAGCCCGAGCAAGACACGGCGCAGTCAAAGACTGGCGCGGACAGCAAGTCGTGGAGCCAGTGGATGCGGAAGCGGCTCGGCCTCGACGCCCGGCCCGCCGAGTCGGACGAGGAAGAGGATGACAGTGATGAAAAGGGCGGCAAGGGCATCCTGCAGGACGCCGACGAGCTGGCCAGCGTCGACCTCGAGCTGCTGTTGATGCGAAAGTTCTTTGGCCGGTGGGCCAAGAAGATTGGCGTTTTTGGAAAAGCTGTCGATCCCCTGGTCGAGGGCGACTTTTCGGTCGACTGGACGCGGGTCATCGCTCCTGTATTGGAAGGGAGGATCAAGATGGTGGGCGCATAGACAGGATATCGAAGATGCCTACGAGGAGGAAAAGAACCCACCTGGAATAGATGTCGTCACGGCCCAAAAAGAGAAAAAGAGATGATGAGAATATGAACCATACAATTTCGTACATTCAAACAGAGATGCTCGCTACGTAAAATCTATGTCGCCCATCTGCCTGATCCACCCACCACTGTCTCTCTTTCCTCCTACGCCTCGTACGACTTGTCGCTGATCTGCACACCCGACGACAGCACCAGCTCGCCGGCGCTCTTGCCGACGCTGATCTTGTACTCGCCGCCCTTGATCACCCACTTTTGCGCCTCCTCGCTCCACGAGGCAAAGTCCCGGACCTGCACCGGCAGCTCGACCGTCGCGCTCTTCCCGGGCTTGAGAGTCACCTTCTTGAAGCTGACGAGCGCCTTGATGGGCGTGTCGTCCGACGCGTCGCGGCGCCGGCGTAGATCTGCACGGCCGTCGCGCCCTCGACGGCGCCCGTGTTGGACACCTTGACGCTGACGCTGTACGCGTCGGCAGACGTCTCCCTGACGGCGAGGTCGGCGAGGGCAAACGTGGTGTACGACAGGCCGAAGCCGAAGGGGAAATGGACCTTGTCGGCGGGCAGGCGGTCAAAGTGGCGGTAGCCGACAAAGACGCCCTCCTCGTACTTGACCTTGAGCTTGCCGTCGACGTACTTGCCCGGGAAGTTTCCGTAGGCGGGACAGTCCTCGAGGCGCTTGGGGAACGTGCACGTGAGGTGGCCCTCGGGGGTGCGAGCGCCGGTGAGGACGTCGGCGATGGCGTTGCCGGCCTCCTGGCCGGGGAACCAGGCCTGGAGGAGGCCCTTGATCTCGGACAGCCACGGCAGCGCGACGGCGACACCAGTCGAGTTGACGACAATGGTATTGGGGTTGGCCTTGGCGACGCCAGAAACGAGGCGGTCCTGGCTGCCGTCCTTGGGGAGGTGGAAGCCGGCCTGGTCCTGACCCTCAGTCTCCCAGGTAGGATCGTGGCCGGTGAAGACGATGGCGTAGTCGGCGGCCTTGGCGGCGTCGACGGCCTCACTGAGAATGTCCCGGTCGTGCTCGGTCGCGGACATGGCGCCGAAACGGACACCGGCGCGGCCCTCGAGAATGCCGAGATCAGTGCCGGGCACAGGCGCAGGGGGCGAGCTGCGGACCTGAAGCTTGTACGTCTTGCCAGCCTCGAAGGGGAACTTCATGGTCGGCACAGGCACGCCGCCAAAGAGGAAGCCCATCGAGTCGGAGCAGTTGTCCTTCTGCTCAAAGACAACCTTATCGTCGATGGAGACGTAGGAGGGGCCAAGGCCGGTGAGGGTATAGTAGTAGGTGGCCGTCTCGGGGGGAGTGAAAGTACCGACGAGCTCGATCTCCTTGTTCTCGAGGTCAAAGGCATCGAGGATACCAACCTCAGACGTCTTGTGGCCTTGGGTAGCCTTGATGGGCTCCGACTTGCCGGGCTCGTAAATGCTGTAGGTGAAACCAGGCGTCGTGCCGTCGGTGCTGACGACATTCTCCGCCAGCAGAGGCAGCTGGCGGAAGGTGTGGGCGCCCTTGCTGTATGTGATCTCGACGTCGTCTCCGAAAGCCTCCTTCAGCGCGTCGTAGGGGGTGATCTTGTAATGAGCGTTGACCGAAGCACTGCCGCCGCCGTGGGCGAGACCCTCCTTAGCATAGCCCAGGAGAGCAATCTTCTTTCCCTTGACCTTCTCCTTCGTCAGAGGCAGAACGCTGCCCTCATTCTTCAGGAGGACGATGCCCTTGCCGCCAGCCTCGCGAATGAGGGCCTGGTGCTCGGGCTTGTTGACGGCCTTCTCGTCGGGGATGGTTGGGTCCTCGAAGACCTTCTGGCGTTCAAGGAAGCGCAGAACGTGAAGGGCACGGTCGTTGATCGTCTCCTCCGTCAGCTTGCCTGCCTTGACAGCGGCCAGAACGTCCTCCACCTTGCGCCAGCGGGTGGGTCCGGGCATCTCGAGATCGAGGCCAGCGTTCAGGGAGTCAGCAGTCGAGTTGACACCGCCCCAGTCGCTCATGACGAGGCCGTCCCACTTCCAGTCGCCGCGAAGAACGCGCTTCAGGAGAAACGGGTGAGAATCGGCGTGGTGGCCGTTGACTTGGTTGTAGGCAGTCATGACGGCGCCGGGGTTGGCCTCCTTGATGGCGATCTCAAAGGGCTTAAGGTAGATCTCGCGCAGGGCACGCTCACTGATCTCCTCATCGACGCTCAGACGCTGAGTCTCCTGCTCGTTGGCGGCAAAGTGCTTGATGGTAGCCGAGACGCCCGTCGACTGGACGCCCTCGACGTTCCGCGCGGCCAGCTTGCCAGACAGGAAGGGGTCCTCGGAGGAAT